ATTGTCTTAACTGGATTCCCATTTGTTCACTGATGTGTTCTTAGAACCTAACACACACAGACAAGATTTTCAATATTACTAAACAAATAGATACATTAATAAATTAATTTCAAATATAATAAAATATTTTGACTAGAAGTATCACTGTCCCACTTATATAACAATATGTATAATTTTGATTTTCAAAATGAAAACTTTCAACAAAAACATCATTACAATAAAACACAATCTCCATTATAGGTCACAGGTCATTTTTCTTATTATTTTCTTCAGAAATTAGTAGGTAATAGAGTAGCAATGGTGTTTTCTATGGATAAGAATTCTAATACCTTTTCTCTGGTTTTAACATCTCCCTGGTGTTTGCTCAAGTTTGGACAAAATGTGGGAAATGCCCCAAACATGCTACTGCCTCAGCCTCGTGGAGCTGGATTTCTAATGTCATCTCATATTGTCAGCCTTGACCAAGTGTTTGTATGATGGAATGTATCTGTTCCATCATGTATCTGATCAACAACTGAGTGAACTGGAAACATCATCACCAGTAGAAAGTTGCATTTGTAAATCTGCCCTCGTGGGTGTCAGTGTGACTGAAATATGGCTGTATTGTTTGGGGTAACAGAGCATGAATATTTCAGTCTGGAAGACACTTTAGACATTATCTAGTTCAACTCCCTTATTTTATGGATAAAGTAATTGAGTTTTAGGAAGCTTAAGACTCAAGTGTACGTTCACCCAACTAATTAGTAGCAGCACAGTCTACACCAGATCTCAGGTCTTGTTTCTAAATTCACATGTTTTGAAGTCAGTTGTATAAATTGCTACATAAAAAAATTGCAGACGAGTCAGATTGAAAACTTTATTATTACTTTTTTTAAATGTCCAACTAAGTCACAAATTAAATGTGAAATGTTTATCAATTAGTATTCAAAGTGGACAAAATGAATCAACTCAGGAACGATAGGGTCGACAAGCAGGCAAAATGGTAACCCCTGAGATTATGAAATGCATTTGCAATTTTTGTCTTTGGTTTGCAATAAGGAAATTTGTGGCAAGAAAGAGTGGTGTTTGTTGTTGTTATTGTTAAATTCTTTAAGCCTGAGGAGGTTAAAAAAAACCCACATACACACAAAGGAAGTATCTTATCAACCACATATGAAAAGAGAGAAAACAAGGCAAACAAATACACAGAAAGCCTCGCTTAGTAAAAATTTTCAACTATTAACATGAAGTACAATGCTAATTAAAGATTATAAAAATTTGCCCTGGCCGGTTTGGCTCAGTGGTTAGAGCGTCCACCTGAGGTCCGGAGAGACCCGGGTTCGGTTCCCACTAAGGGCATGTACCTCAGTTGCAGTTTGTCCCCAGCCCTGGTCGGTGTGCGGGTGGCAGCCACTCGATGTGTCCCTTTCACATTGATGTTTCCCTCTCTCTCTCTCTTCCTCTCTCTCCCTCCCACTCTATCTGTACAAAAAATGGAAAAATGTCCTCGGGTGAGGATAAAAAAAAAAAAAGATTATAAAAATTTGTTAAAAAGTCCTGGTTACTGGGATTCAGAGTTCAGTGTTTTAGGCTATCTTTGAATACCAAATTTAGGTTAACACCTCAATGAATAAAAGGATTCAATTGATGATTTTGTGAAAATTTACCAATATTATTAAGTAAAATATTTTTAAATTTGTGTGTATTTAATGACAAATTTTTAAAAAGAAATGTATTGCTACTGGAAAAAGTGATGCTTTTATTTTAATAATAAGTTATGCTTAAGCCCATGAAACTCTTGTTCAGCTTTAATAATAATGAACTTTGTTTGGCTGAGTATAACTGGGTCAATGATTATGTCAATTTAGACATTCTGTCTCAGATTCAAGTACCTACTCCTACCACTAAAAAATGAAATCAATAATACAAGGTAACCTTTGTTTTACAGTTACTAATATTCAAAGGAAAATATTTAGGTTCCTTTATACACCTCACAAACTGTTTCAGTCTTTATTTGTAAGAGAAAATAAATCCTTCAGCAGGTCAGCCAATGCAGATGATAAACTGTCACTCTGTCTCATTTGCACTGGAAATAAATATGCAGTCAGCCTGGTATTAATTCATTTTAACCAATTCTTGAAACTGGCAGTTGAAACATCTCCCCATTGGGATTTCAAGCCACTTGAAAAAGTCATTTATCCATAATGGCCAAAATAAATTTGATAAACAAATCTTTTATAGATAAGTATTATGAATGTGAACTAGAGGTCACTGCTAAAATTATGACAATTCACCATTTTCAAATGATAGTTACTAAGGTTAGACTATGATTATGCAGAGTTTAACCAACTGGAACATGTGAATTCATTGGGGAAAAAAAAAACTCGGAAATATATACAACAATTAAGACGCAAGTGTCATCCTAAGTGAAAAAAGCCAAACAGAGAAAGACAAGTTTCATATGATCTCACTTATTTGTGGAATATAATGAACATAGCAGTCTGAGGAATGGGGTAGTCCCAGAGACGTGGAAGTAGGGTACAGACTGACAATCCCCAGAAGAGGGGGTGGTGGGGGAGAGATAAACCACAGAACTTATATGCATGTGTGCATGAACAGTGGACATGGACAACAAAGCTGGGGACAAGGCGGGGAGGGAGAGGGAGGGGGTAATCAATTGGGGAAAAAGGAGAAACATCTGTAACAAAAATTAATTTAAAAAAAAAAGACGCAAGTGCACTTCAGCATTTTAAAATAATAACTACTAAGATTCTACTGTTGACTTTTAATTTTTACTTCACAGAGAGCCTGATTTTATCCTAGGCCTTTCTTATTAATTGCTGACCTTTTCCTGTCATTTGATGCTAAATACCTTGCGATAAATGCATCATCAATGCAATGTGGCTTGAAATAGATTAGTACATTAAATGTGACCATGAAAAATAGATCCAATTCCTGAGTGACTAAAGAGGTCTTCTTTATAAGCCTCCTTTCTTTCTTTTCATTTTTCCAGTACATTCATTTACTAACACACTTTTAGCAATCAAATTAGTGATGCTTTAGCATTTTATTGTCACTAAAACCTTTGTTTTATTAGTAAAAGACAATGACATAGTCCTCTTGATTGTGAAAGCCATTATCAGGTCAAGTCTTTGCTATGCCTCAGATCTTAGGACACTAATTTTTTAGATCATCTCTGAGGCCTTCTATGGAAGGTGATTTCTTATTGAGGAATAAATGGCTGAAGTGTCTTTAATTTTCTGTTATGTTAAATATCCTGTATTGAGCAATGATGAACAAGTAACATAGACATATGAACAATACATTTTTGGTATGTTCAACCTATGACATAATTATCATTAATATCCCATGTATTAGTGTGATGATATAAAATGAAATAGTTTAAGATCTTAGTTATTAAGATTGGGAGATAAATCAGTAGTGGACTATGAATCATTTTATTTGATGATACAAAGAGTTAGCATTATTATAAAATCTAGAAATGCTTTCTTGTTTTTATATATGTTGAGACTCTCCTACCTATTATAGGGAAGAGACCATATTAATATCCTTATTTAGCTTAGTATGCTATAGGTAATATACATGACTTTTAGATTCATATTTACAAAAACAACAATCTGCCACAAAAATGTACTAAGGACTCCTTCATGCTGAGGATCCAAAATGAGAACAACCAGATCTTATCAATACATAACCAAGCCTCTTTTGTTTTTTTCATTTGGAGTGATGGGACCGATCATTTGATTGAATTGACCCATGTCATTTACCTGTAAAATCTGGTTCAAGACTGATTATGTTACTTAAATAACAACATGTCAAACTTGAAAATTTAGTTTTTGTTTTCTTTGTTATTTATATTTTGTTTTACTCTTTGATTTGCAGGCCATGCAATAGTATTCAGAGTTCTCCAACATATGATAGTGATTTCTTCAAAATTTCATTCTCAAACATAGCTGCACAGTGGAATCGCTGGGAAAACTTTAAAAACTGCCAATATCTGAGTTCTACCCCAGAAATTATGATGTATTTTGGATAGCAGCCTGGGCATTGGGTCTCATAATATCTCCCCCAGCTGATTATAATGGGCAGCTGACTTGGCATCCCTGGGGGAATATAACTATTCTTGTTACAGCCCATTGCTGATTGCCATGCCACTTTTTCAATCTCCATTTACTGAAAAGGTGGTTTCCCTCCCCTCTCTCCTCTCTTACCAAACTTTCTGTCAAAACTTGAACGTGCCTTATCAAAAATATTAATCACTCTGACACATTTATTCCGCAATTTTTGTAAACATGTACATGTCTATACATTAGAAACAAGGACAAAAACTTTTAGCAGTGTTTATTTTTGTTAAAAGAAACTTTTGGAATTGAAGGTCAAATTGCCTTCTAATTGCACAGATTAAACAAGAAGATATTTCATATTTTAGCTTGACAAAGCATCTTATTGATTTGAAAAGATCCATACTATTGATAAAGTTCATGATGAAACATATATGTATTAAGAAGACTAAAATATTTATTTTACATATCTACAACATGTATTCTCATATTTCTAGATCAACCACAAATCATACAGGAAAATATTTAGGTTCATGAAAAAGCTTTATAACATAAAAAATTACATTTTGAAAAAAAAATAACATGAAAGCTCATTAAATAATAACATTGACAAATAAATAGTTAATCAACTTTACTTATTAGCTGCTGCCATGCATATCTGGCATTCCATTCCAAGCGAGGGTCAGCATGCAGGATATAATTTCATACTATGAGACTGTAAAAAGCTACAGGGCTTATTTTTGAAGTGAAATGTCACAAGGTCTTTCACTCTTTCAAAGGAAGATCACTCATGGCTGCTAAACTGTTCCATGAAGATTGCCAAAAAAGAAAGAAAGAAAGAAAGAAAGAAAGAAAGAAAGAAAGAAAGAAAGAAAGAAAGAAAGAAAGAAAGAAAGAAAGAAAGCCACCCTTCTGAAGTGTTATTGTAAAGATTCAAGGCAACAATTTTTTTTTAACTATTCAGTTTTGGAGGATTTTTCTAGGAGACAGGAAATAGGTTGGGGAGTGAATGATAACTGAGAAGCCCTTTCTGTTTTAAAAAGTAATTATTCGATATATAGTATGTATATAGTATCACCAGTCTTTCAAGAACCATGGGGAATTAAAACTACAGGATGTGTGGAATTTAAATACAAATTGCACTCATGGATACGGGTACATCTTGAAAAACTTGTGATGGAAACGCTATTCCCAAAGAAGGTCCTGATACTTAGGACAGTTTGCTGAGTTTAATCAAAGCAGAAAACATATATTTTCAAGTAAGAAAATAGCAATGGCAGTCTTGAGTCTTCCAAGCAATCAAATCTGTAAAGCAGATGGTTACCAGTCAGTCCAGTTTGGAGAGTCTGAGTTCTAACTCATGCTGTGCTTGCTGGGTTTGCTGGCCCTTTTCCGCTCTCTGTGATGCTGGGCTGGCTCCGCAGGCGACATGCTCTCGAAGTTATGACTGGACTCATTGTGCTGCCGAGTGTACCTCTTGCACTTGCAGGCGGTGACCACGGTGATCTTGTAGGTGCGCGTGCTGCCATCTTGGCACTGCAGCTGGATTCTCTGGGTACGTGTTTTGTCGTTGACACACCTCCACTCCTGGGAGCTCCTCCTGCTCCAGTACTTGGTTCCGTAGCCTCCTCCGATCCAGTTGGGGAGCAGGGGCAGTGGCAAGCACTCACCAGCACACACCAGCTCCTTCAGAGGGCTGATGCTGGTGCACTGGCCATCAGAGATGTACTTGGTGGAGCGCAGTTCCCGGCAACCCACTTGAACCCGAGCTGCAGAAAACAGAAAAGAAAGTGTACAAAGGCATAAACAAATGGGCATTTCTTAAAAGTACTGTGCAATGACAAAAACATTATGCAAATGATAGCAAAATACCAAATAGAAAGAGAACATTTATTTTGTTTTCACAATGCAAAATCTGCCTGGATGATTGTAGAGACACTTTCATGAAAATTATCTGTTTATATGGCTATAATTTTTTTGGAATTAAGTAAACTAGGCTTTATTTTTTTTTTTTTTCACATATAACATTAGCTAATTGCCTATCAAGTATTTGAAAATCCCATTGTCTTAGTCTCACTACCCAGGATGGTTTAAGTGACTTTCACAATTACGTGTTAAAAAAATAGTATATTTTAATGTTCTTTTTCTGACAGATCATATTTGTTAAGGTCTACAATTGCTTTCATTTAATTAGTTTTTTAAAAATCCATAGAGAAAATATGAAAAGTATTTAATATTGTGTACAATGCATATGATCTCTGTAATATTTTGTTTCAATTATAAAATTTTGCTGCAAAGAATCATAAAAACATATGTACAGTCTGACATTTTGCATATCAAATTTAATAACTACATCTTAAACATAAATTCCCAAGCTATCTTTTAAAAACACATATTAAAATGTTTGAAATGCAAAATGTCACTACAATGCAACATTTAAAGGATATAAAAGCCCCTAAATCAGGAACGTATGGTTGCCATAACAACTTGGCTACATTTCCAAGATTTTTTTATGGCAGAAAAATGCCTAACATGTCTGATTTACAACTGCAAAAGTAACCACAGTGTTCATTTCCTGAATATTGGTCATGGCAAACTTTTTGTTTAGTTATTTGAATTTAATAAGTATGTTCTCTAATTGGCTATTTCTTGTTACATGCTTTATGTAATTAAAGCAAAAATTAATCTTGAAATAATTGAGTTTTCCTTTCCATTGCTTTGTTATCTAAACTTGAGGAAAATTGCGTGTAATAGCTTATAAAGAAAGTAAGCCTTGTTAGCCAGAAAAAAAAATATTTAAAAGTATAACTGCTATAATTTCAAAAATGATCAAGGACATTGAAGTGGCCTTGCTTAGAATAGTAAAAGCTCATTTGAAGTAGATATTGAATTAAGAGTTTTATTTCATCTCTGTGCCCTAGTACTTCTGAGGTGAGAGATGTAGCCTACAGGGATGCAATAATTATGAAAAATGTATGTATATATAGATAACACACATAGTTGTAGTGTGGGATTAAAATTAAAGGGTAAACCAGGTGGCCATTCAGTGTGCTCTCCTGTCTGACTGATTCCAGCTCACCTTTCTGCAGCTGCCTTAAGAATACACCTAGAAACAGCTGGAGATGATTTTGACTTGTCTAGCTTTTTGTTCCTGTATATATAGATTCAGCATTTTTGCAGTGACAGTTCATTGACAGTGAATACCCACCACATTGCTCAGTAATCTAATAATAATCAGATATTTCCTATGTACGCAAAAGCAACCATCTTCATGAAAGTTAAAACACCTTGTTTTTTTAGACATTTACAGTCATATGTGCTTTGACTTTTCAGAGGTCAAAACCATTTCTCATAGTTGAATGGAGTTGAGGAGGAGGAGCAAAAGAGTTGTAAGATTTCCTGTGCACTGTTTCTCTGGGTCTCTCTTAAAACCTGATTATTAGCATGTGAACTCTTCTAAGGGAAAGAAATGTAAATCCCTCTAACTAGTGGTCAGTGTGTCAATTAAGCACACAGAAAAGGGAAAATGCTCCCTCTAAAGTATGTTATTATTTTTAAAATCTAAAGTTATGAGTTTCCTCAGTCTTTCACAGAAATATACAATTACCTAAATTTTGATCTAGTTAATAAGAAATTATCTCAGAAAAATATAATTTTCCAACATTTTTAGTTGTATCCCTCTTTCACATTGATCATTGTCAAAACTTTCAACTATTTTCATAGACATATTTTGGAAATTTATGGTGAGCAATTTTTCCCCCAGAAAGCATCTTTTATTCCCTTGTGATTTCTTATACATACCTAGGTTAGTTACCTTTAAGCACTTTACCAGAATTTGCACATGTCCTAAAACAAACAGAAAACTACCTGAATTTAAATTATACACTTTTTAAAAATTCTCATTGTGCAGGATTTAAAGAAGCAACAGTTTAATTCCTGGAAACATTTTCTCTTTGAATGTTTGATAAAACTTAAGTCTGTGCCTGCATTATCAAATCACTGTTTTAGTTATGTTAACTTTACAGAAAGAATGCCAGTCTACACATGCAGCAGATTACTTCCAGATTATCTAGCAAAATAGACATGGTTCAGGTTAGTTTGCAATGAAACAATTCTACAGGAATATGAGCAAAATGCTACCAAAAAAGAAAAGACGAAATCCACATAAGTAAAACAGACTTACTGTTACGATCCAGTCCGGTGTTACTGAAATGCCTGCCTCCATTTCTGGCTTGATTCATCGTGCTGTTGCTGCTGGGGTGTGCTGGAACAGGTTTAACCACATGTGAATAAAGGATTTCTGTGGCATCATTTTTAAAAGCCAAACAGCTTTTCATTAGGATGCATGCAAGGGGAATGAGATAGAAATGAATGGCAGGAGGAAGCATGGTGAGTAGAGGATTTGCTTGGCTGAGAGCTGGTTAATTCCTTTCCCTCTGCTTCTGCACTGTAACTGTGAAATTCCTCCTCAAGGTTCTCTTTATATATCCCTGAGGTTTGGCGTTCATTCAGGTGTAAAGTTGTGTAGAGCTTCAGAGTGAAAACACAGGGAAGGGGTGGGATCCCTACATGACCCTGCAAAAGAATTTTACCAATGGAAGAGAAGACTACAGAAAAGGAGGAGCTTGGTATACAAATTGCCTGAAATTTCAGAGTTGGACTTCATCAGTTGTCTGCGAGCTGAAGCAGCCCGGCACATTCTATAGCAACTACAGACTCTCCCTCTCTCTCTGCCATTTCCTTTCCTGAATCTAGTTCACATTCCGGTTTAATTTCAATGAAAATACACTGCTGTTTGTTTGAAAAAATTTACATTTCCACAGTTGTTCTGTACTCCCCTAAGATATTAGAATTTTGGGGGTAGGGAGAGGGTTTGTCCCAGATGATAGAAGGAATTAAAGTGAGTTTAAATTCTGCAGGATTTGCATGAAGCACCTATTTAGTTAAACATAGTTTGTTTCTCAAGAAGCAAACCAAGATATATATTTTGTCTTTAAAGTGTAAGGCAGGGAGCTAGAATCTGCCCCCTGGATACACTTAAATAATGCAGCTTTGATCTGCATGAACTGCTGTGCAGCTAGGTAAATTATTGCCAGGGGTCTGTGCAGAGAATAATGAGCATAGCTCTGTCTGCATTAAAGTAATTAATATCAATTTTCATCTTAAAAATATGTCACAAGCATTAACATTCACAGCATCATTTTACATGAAAGAATGACATTTTTGACAGATTATAGTTTAGCAAATTCAAAATAATATTTCCTAGTGTTCTTCCTGTATTTAAAAAATATTTCCTTTGACTCTGCTGCCCACATAAGAAACATCGTACTTTTACAAACTTCATCACACCTGGAACAGTGTTCCATTAATACTAGGCTACTCTTCTCCAGCCTTTAAAAAAGTCATGAAATTTCATCAGATTTATGGAACACTTGGATTAGAATAATTACGTAATTCAAAATTGGCTTTCGAGTGATAAATCCATCTTGCCCTTTGTGTGACTACTAAAATGACATAGCGTGGGCATTTTGTTTCTCTCTTCTTTATAAACTTTTGCCCATTTTAACTACTATTTATATCTATCGTCTGCATTTCTCCACAGTAACACTTACATTTTGGAATAGGGAATTCTTTGCTGTGGGGCAGTGTGTTTGCAGCAGACCTGGCTTCTACCCACTAGATGCCAGTAGCACCCCCTAGTTACAACCAAAAATGTCTTTAGACATTCACACGCAATTGTCCCTGTAGGCGAAATCATCCCCTGCTGAGAACTACTAATTATCTATCTGTCTATCTCACTATAAAAAGAAAGTAAAGTTAAGAACAAGGACCATTTAATAATAATGAACTATTGTTCTTTTATTTAGGAGTAAAATGGTACTGTGGTTTTGTTTAAAAATAGTGATTGCTTCTCATTTAGAGTTATATACTGAAATATTGCTAGATGGAATGATATAATGTCTGGAATAAACTTCAGAAATAACATGGGAGTGGATGGTTAGAGGTACAAATGGGGCATGATTGGTTATGGGCTGGATGATGGATATTCTATTCTGTTTACTCTTGGGTCTGTTCAAAATTTTACATAGTCAAAAACTTAAAAACTAGAATAAAAAACTTAATTTAATGTATACATACTGCCTAATAACAATCAGATCCCTATCTGAAGGTTGTGTGTAGTCATTTATTCTAATGTCATTCCTAGAAAATAATGCATCAACTTATTAGGTACACATGGAGATTATATGTCAGGCATCCTTCTGAAGTACTAATTATGAATAATTTCTTATCCTGCTTTCAGAACAATTGATATTTAATTACATGAAGTAGATCCGATGCCTAAAGGAAGTAATGGGGTCAAAATAATCTAATCTCTTCCCCTTAAATTTTTTTATGTGTGTATGCCAAGAGAAGGGGATATTTTAATTTGAAGTTTAATTATTAGGTTGGGGTAATTAAATTGACCAAAATAACTCATAATGGTTAAATCTGCCCTGCACCTGGTATTCAATAGGCTCAGCCTTAGGATATCACCTTAGGCAGAGGCAAGATTAGGAATCAAAGCAATGTGGTTGGTACATGTGGACAGGAACGATGCTGAGTTCTTAGGCCCAATATATCTGGCAGGACCAACTTAGAAAACTACTTTGTTAAATTACACACAATCATAAATTTGATAGTTAATATATTTGACAGTTAGTATATAGTTAATAGTTATTCTGATCAGTTACAACTACTTTATTAAGAATAATCACAGCCTGGCTGTGGCTCAGTGGTTGAGTGTCGACCCTTGTGCCTGGAGGTCACCAGTTCGATTCCCGGTTGGGGTACATGCCCAGGTTGTGGGCCCAATCCCCAGTGCGGGACATGCAGGAGGTGGCCAGTTGATGTTTTCTCTCATCAGTGTCTCTGTCTCTCTCTCCCTCTCCCATCCTCTCTCTCACAAAATCAATAAAGAAAGAAAAAAAAAAGAGTAATCACAAACTGTAATACTCTGATAAGATTATGGGTATGGGTGTCTAATATCATAATTGATTAAGGATGCGTTCCCCTAAGCAAGTTATGTCTTTTCCATCTCTAGGCCTCTGTAGATACATGTTTCTCCTTCTTGTTGCAGCATCCTTTTCTCACCCTTTTCTCATTCCTTTCTTCATTAGCTAATACCTATTTTTCCTTTAAGTCTCATTTTTTGATGGCACTGGGGCGAAGAAACTTCCTGTGCCCTCTACCTCCCCAGGTCTGGGATTAGCACCCCATCCGTATGTACCAGAGTGACTGGTTGCCTGGTATCTTTGAAAGCCTTATGGTAGAACTATTTTTATTTTATGAATATTGTTGAATACGTGGATACATTAATTTAAGAAATATAGAAGAAACTATCCTTTCACATATAAAAAGATTGGTTAAGCCCAGTCAGTGTGGCTCAATGGATTGAGCATTGTCCCATGAACTAAGAGGTCCTGGTTTGATTCCCGGTCAGAGCACATGCCGGGGTTGCAGGCTTAATCCCCAGTAGGGGGCGTGCAAGAGGCCACCAATCCAAGTTTCTCCCTCACATTGATATTTCTGTCTCTCTCTCCCTTCCTCTCTCTGTAAAAAAATTAATAAAAAATAAACATAAATAAATAAATAAATAGGTTAATATTTGTAGTAGGCAATTGTTAAGATGGCTCCTAATAATCCTCTTCTCATGGGATTCATACCCTTGAAGCTCTTGCCTTCCCTTGAGGGTGGGTTGGACCTAGTGACTAACTTCTAACGGGTATAATACAGTAGAGTGACGAGATGTGACTCCTGTGATTGGATTACCAAAAGACCCACTCCAGTCTTGCTTGCCTGCTCTGGTTCTCTCACCGCTTTGATGGAAGCCAGTTAGTATGACGTAAGCTTTCAGGAGAGGCTCAAGTAGCAAGGAACTGATGTCTCTCACCAACCAGAAATTGCGACCCTCAGCCAAACAACCCATCGGGACCTGAATTTAACGACAACCACAAGTCAAAGCCAATCTTCCCATAGTCAGCCCTTCAGATGAGGCTGCAGCCCTGGCGTCCACCCTAACTGCAACCTGATGGGAGACTTCAAACCACAGGCACCCATAAGGACTAGAGTTAGTAAATGTTTTTTAACTAAGTTTGGGGGTAATTTGTTGCATGGCCATAGATAATCAGTATAATATTATTTGCTTAAAAGTGAATATTTAGTAATTACACCATCAATTTTGTGAATAATGCTAGGGCCTTGAAAGCATCGGAGGTGGCGCCATTAAATATGATGGCTGTGCAACTTTTGTTCTTTGGACAAGACTTGAAACCTACTTTCCAGTCCTCAGGTGAGAGTCATCAATGTGTTGTCATTATTAATAATCAAATAATGATATTATTACTACTGGTCTTATATGCACAAACTGGAATGTTATTTAAGTACTCTTAATAGCATTGGTTACCATGTGACTCCTCACACTGGAATCAGAAAACATGAATTTGAATCTTATTTCTACCATTTACAATCTGTATGAATTTGGATATATTTCCTAGAACTCTCTAAATCAGTTTCTTCACCTGTAAAACACAACCAAAACTACCCACCTCATAGAAGAGTAACGAACATTGAAGTATCTAGAACAAAACCTTGCCCAGAGAAAATATGGAAAATATAACCACTGAATGAGACTGAGTACTATTGCTCATTAAAGTCTTTGAATTTATTTATTTATTTTTTTTGCTTTTTTTAAAAATTTATTTTATCTTTATGGTATTACAGATGTCCCCCTTTTTTCTCTCCATTGGCCCCTCCATCTGGTTCCTGCCCTGCCCCAGGCCTTTACCACCCCCTGTCTATGTCATGGCAATGCATATATGCATATAAACTCTTTGGTTCATCTCTTCCCTCTGCCCCCTCCCCCTTCCCTCTGAGATTCGTCAGTCTGTTTCATGTTTCCATGCCTCTGGTTCTATTTGATTCATCAGTTTATTTTGTTCATTAGATTCCACATAGAAGTGAGACTATGTGATATTTGTCCTTCTCTGACTGTTTTATTTCACTTTGCATAATCATCTCCAAGTCACTACCATGCTGTCTCAGAGGGTAAAAGTCATTCTTTATTACAGCTGCATAGTATTCCATTGTCTTTGAATTTAAAAATGAATTTGGAAAGATTAGAGAAATCTCAAACAACTGAAATTACCCTATTTGAGATGGACAACAAAAAGTTAAGAAAAAAGAGATTGTTTAGCCTGATTAAATACAAGATAATGTGTAAATATTATTTCATTAAAAAACAAATATCCTAACCAATTGTTTTTTATCTTTGATAGGAAAAGAATCAGAATACAGGTAAATATAAATAAAATATATGTATTGAATGCAATGATAATCTATATCTGGTTCTCTATGCATTTAAACTATTTTCAGAAAGATCCAGTTAATAAGATAGAACTTATAACTAGGAAAGTAAT